GGGGGGGCGGGGGGGGACTCGAGCCAGGAGACGGGACATTTGCATATCACAGGGAACAGAAGGGCAACAGGACAACGCGAAGGGTGTGGAGTCTTCAATTCGCTTCCTTGTTACCCGCTTCTTCTTCCTTTTGCAACACCTGAACCAGTGAACCCGCGCTCTCCTCATCCACTGAGCTGGCGACCCCCACGCCGCAACTTTCACCTAGCGGCCGTGCCGCTTTTTGTCCCTGTTGCAGAGGTCCGGCCGACCCGTCAATAGAGCGGATCACCGGCTCAGCCTTCACTTGTTGGGTTTACCGATCTGGGCGCTCCAGTCTACTGGCCGGATATTGCGGCCTTTGAAGTCGGGTCGTCGGTTCCTTGGCGATTACTTGGGGTTGCGACGGGGTGCTCGTCCTTCGTAAGTTGTCCTGGTCGGCGCACTACACGGAGACGATCGGCGATACTAAACGAGATTGACATTGGTCGACACATTACGCTAGATAAAATACTACCTCCAATACAGATACAGCGACCTTATATAGGCCGTTTTCGCGCCAGTGCACGACCTATGTAGAAGGGAGTCATGATGCAACATGCCCTTCCGGCTACAAAGATTGCCCCTGATCTTTATAGCCAATGCTCAAGCTTAAAATTATTAACCACAACTAAAAAATTAAAAAACAAACAAAGTTCAAACAATATATATTTTTTTTCAACATGCTTATCACGGCCAATCGCCATGTCCATATTACCATTCGCGCGTCATTCGTCTCTGAATATATGGCGGTCGGACTCGTCCCTGCTTGTGGTTGGTTGCGATTTGCATCCGACCACCGACGAATCCTCACAGGCGTCCTTTCGTTATACTGACGATGTTTTGCTCTCTTCGGCCTCGATACCATAGGTCGTTCCATGCTGCTCCGCGTCGCTGTTCGTCGCCTATCGGTTGTATGTCTTCGAGTTGGCTTTCGATCGGGGCATTGTAGAGACACTGCGAACCTGAAATTAATTTTTCCGCGCCTGCTGGCGTTATTAGTCCTTGGCGGTTGCAGAGTAGGTCGTTGTGTGCAAACGGCATTCCTCCGACTTCATATGTCAGGTGCACGTGTTCATCACCATCGTTCCATCCTAACATTTTGAACGTCGCTGTCTCCAGCTGCTCTCGCATATACGGAAGAACTTTCATTATCTGTTGTAATGCGGTGCTTGTTCTACTGAACACAGTGGTCGAAGAGGTTAGTGAAAATATGCGGAGAAATCATGCTGAAGAACACAGCACGTATGCAAGCGGTTCGGCGTCGAGAAATGTTTAAAACATAGGTTCGGTATCTAAATATCACTTGGCATCATTCGTGGGTCCAATTCGTGTGGAATTTTCTGTAGGGTACGCAATAAATCCCTTAATGCGAAGCTGCAAACCGATCGACGCCGCATCTTGATATTCGCTCCGGATGTATATCGCCAAGTCAGAAGGACAAAGTCCAGGGCTGGAGAGCTTGAGCTGGCTGGACTGAACAATCAAGAAATTGCGCTCGAAGCAAATGCGTCCAATACTGACACACAGACCCTGATCAAACATAGTCTTAACAATGCTATATGGTCATGCAAAGTATGCAGCCGCAGCAGATGCATCACACAAAGACCAGTCTTAAATAATCCGGATCCATTCTCGGAATGCATACGCCGATTACTGTCTTATTCAAAAAAAAAATATCTAAACCCCACGTAGAAACTTACACGCCTGTCCAAGATACGACTGCTTCAAAAACAATAAGCGTCCTCATCTTTCTCATGCTGCATTCCTAGCGAGCTCGAATTTGAATGATGCATCGAGAACGAAGCAGTGGTACAATGTCCCAGATTCTCGAGTTAGCAAGATCGTGCTGCTGCAGCTGTCCCGTGCATTCCTGAATGCTCTTATTTTTCCCTTGTTCTCCACTGTGCCGGTTCTTCAGCATTTGCTCTCAATAATGATACTGGAGGTCAGTGATACACCACCACCGCCATACTTGTGCTGTATATATACAGTTTGAACTCACGAGCGCATACATATAGCTGTATTTTCTAAGTCAGTAGTACAATATCGCTGTTTTATTCGTTGGCCCGACATCCAATAATTCTCCAAGGCTCGCAAGACTCGAATCCGATGGACAACATCCAAAGCTGTTCTGTGCATCTGCACTATCGCGTAATTTGCAGCTCTTTCGGTCCATCTACATCAAAGACCACTTTCCCGCTTGATTTTTGTGGTTTCCATATTTGCTGTAAAGAAGGGGCGCTGTTGGAAAAAATCCTTTTATATTTGTCGAGTGACACACGCTTCTCTCCAAACTTGTTCCGAAAATAAAAACAGTAATATCAGTGGTTCAGATTTTCTTTTGAATGATCAACAGATCGGATCTTACGAATTTGCTTGTTTTGACAAGATGCCGGCTCGCTCGAACCCTACACCTCAGATTTCAGTTATTAAACCTCTATTGAATGGATGCAAAACGAGAACCTATACGATACGACCGCATGACAATGCTAATGAACATCTTAATATCAACACTTTTCAATTTTCAAATCACAAAAGAAAAAGAAGGGATGAGAGGACGATCGAAACCGTCCTATGCGACACAAAAGCGAAAAATAAGGGGCTATAGGCGCCAATCGAATGGGTCAGTAGTCGTAAACCCATATGGCGAACAGTAAAAACGTTCACTCTATTCAATAAACAAAATGAAAAGCTAATCGAAGCTCCAGGCAAAATATAAACATCTCAACATTTTAACTCCTAAATAATAATTTGAGACCTTCGGTCATAACATCTGCTGCCCTTCCCGCTTTCTACAAGAATTCAAACTGCATCAAATGACATAGGGAAAATTAACTGGTTTAGTTCAACTGGTCCAACTGGTTCAACTGTTTGAAGTGTTTCGACTGGTTCAACTGGTCCAACTGGTTCAACTGTTTCAACTGGTCCAACTGGTTCAACTGTTTCAACT